TGCTTGTGTTTACAGTGATAGAAGGGTTTCACATACACGCTTGTGTTTACAGAGTGATAGGGAAGGCCAGACATTCATTTCATTACAGGCAAGGCAAAAAGTTTAATACATTACTTCATAAAATATTAACCACCCAGGTACTGACAGTGTGACATGGTTATAATAATATATTAACCACCTAGGTACTGACAGTGGGGCATGATCATAACAATATATTAACCACCCAGGTATTGACAGTGGGGCATGATCATAACAATATATTAACCACCCAGGTACTGACAGTGTGGCATGATCACAACAATATATTAACCACCCAGGTACTGACAGTGGGTATGATCATAACAATATATTAACCACCCAGGTACTAACAGTATGGCATGTTCATTGCAATATATTAACCACCTAGGTACTGACAGTGGGGCATGATCATAACAATATATTAACCACCCAGGTACTGACAGTGGGGCATGATCATAACAATATATTAACCACCCAGGTACTGACAGTATGGCATGTTCATTGCAATATATTAACCACCTAGGTGCTACATTGTGACATGCTAATAAAAATATATTAAACACCCAGGTACTGACAGTGTGGTATGATCACAACAATATATTAACCACCCAGGTACTGACAGTGTGGCATGATCATAACAATATATTAACCACCCAGGTACTGACAGTGTGGCATGATCACAACAATATATTAACCACCCAGGTACTAACAGTATGGCATGTTCATTGCAATATATTAACCACCTAGGTACTGACAGTGGGGCATGATCATAACAATATATTAACCACCCAGGTACTGACAGTGGGGCATGATCATAACAATATATTAACCACCCAGGTACTGACAGTGGGGCATGATCATAACAATATATTAACCACCAAAGTACTGACAGTGGGGCATGCTCATAATAATTTATTAACCACCCAGGTACTGAAAGTGGGGCATTATCATAAAAATATATTAACCACCAAGGTATTGACAGTGGGGCATGCTAATAAAAATATATTAACCACCCAGGTACTGACAGTTGGGCATGATCATAACAATATATTAACCACCCAGGTACTGACAGTGTGGCATGATCATAAAAATATATTAGCCACCCAGGTACTGAAAGTGGGGCATGATCATAAAAATATATTAACCACCAAGGTATTGACAGTGGGGCATGCTAATAAAAATATATTAACCACCCAGGTACTGACAGTGGGGCATGATCATAACAATATATTAACCATCCAGATACTGACAGTGGGGCATGCTAATAAAAATATATTAACCACTCAGGTACTGACAGTATGGCATGTTCATTGCAATATATTAACCACCTAGGTACTACATTGTGACATGCTGATAAAAATATATTAACCACCCAGGTACTGACAGTGGGACATGATCATAACAATATATTAACCACCCAGGTACTGACAGTGGGGCATGATCATAACAATATATTAACCACCCAGGTACTGACAGTGGGGCATGATCATAACAATATATTAACCACCCAGGTACTGACAGTGTGACATGCTAATAAAAATATATTAACCACCCAGGTACTGACAGTGGGGCATGGTTCTAACTAAATTATAAAATGGGTTTATCACTACAAATTTTTTCACTTTAAGCATTTGCAAGTGTGCAATGTAAACATCACACAAAAGTAATTTTCTTTTTCTTTATTCAAGTCAATTCAAACCTCAAATCTCGAGATGAATTTGTTAAACAATGATGCAAAGTTAACATATACATGTATAATGGGCAACACATAAAGAACTTGCAGTTTATATTTACTAAAAAGTACCATTTCTTAAAATCACATTTTTTAGAGATATTCAACCTATACACCTTCTAAAAGCTAAGATAGTAGAGAAGTCTATAAACCAATCAATTTATAGAATGCTACAGGCTGATGAGATTGGAATTGAGTCATCAATGTTTTGAGGTGAGTATGATTGGTATCTATGATGCAAAACTTGTAATTGCTTCTAGAGGATGCTGTCCATTAAAACGAAGCTGTTGTATGGCATTATGTAATCACTCGTGTGTATATAAAAACTGCTTCTGGCAATATCACATGCTACGCTTGTTTTAATCTATGTATGCAACCTCTTCATCGTACATGTTATATACTATTCATCAACAAGATCTAACATGAAATTGGGTAAAAGAAATTGGACGAGTGGGAGAATTAAAAAGCTTAGAGGATATTCCCTGGAGAAGATCAGATATAGTACGTTTATCATCCGCACACTGAAGGTCACTGTTGAATACATCAATTGTTGATATGGGAATAGAATGATCTACGTTTATCGTGTGCTACTCATTTCTTCACTAAGAGCCAGATTTAAAATGAATGCAGTATATATTTATCATATTTTGTATACAGTCAAGAATATCTGGCGTTACTTTTTTTGATATACGCTTTTATCATTATCACCAAGAAAAAATGAATTGTTGCCATGTTCACTTTGCAGAATTACAGGCACTGACTTGTTACCATGACAACAAAGAAGCAGCTTATTACTACTGAAGAATGTATACACTACATGGGAAGGTACATTTACTATGCTCATTGGTAGCTGTCAATCACTCTTTGCAAAAATTGCAATGATTTTTGTAAATTCTAAATTGCCTTCAATTAATTACACATATGACTAAATCTGCATAATGTCGTTAGATTTAGCATGATGAGGTACAAAGTTTAATCAAAAAAACTTAGAATAAACTTCCATAAGCCAAGGGTACTGAAGGCAAAGATTGGCAAAATTTGTAAAATTAATTAAAAAGATAAAATTACACTTTTAACAACAAGCCTTGTGACTAATATGGCTATGATCTCTGAGATGTAAAATCAATCAAATACACAGTATGGAAGATAATATTACTGATTGAGGCAAAGAGAATACAATTGTGTGTACATCTGTGGTTTGTAGTCTGTTATCATAGAGCAACTATGCATCTGGTTATTGAGAACAAGTCTGAATATATAATATGCAAATTAGGTGCACATTTAAACCCTAAATGACACACGCAGGTCAGGCTTACATTGTACCTGAGAGCACCTATGCCCCAAGTTTCATAGAAATAAAAGGTTATTGTGATATCAAAAACTTTGTCTAATTCATGTAATTCAGGTTTGAGATATCATTTTAAAATAGCTGAAAAATTTGGTTAAAAATTATGACTTAGTTAATTAATATGCACAGATTTTAACCAATGCTAATCAGGTGTGTATTGTCCTAGAACATCTATGCACCAAGTTTCATTGAAATGCTATCATGAACATGGTTTTTGAGGTATTATAGAAATGTACAAGAATGCATGAGAATTTGGTTATTTAGTCTTTGATTATAGGTATCTGGACGTTTCTGAAATGGTTCATCATCAGTTTCATTTGAAAAGGTAATAAGTCAGTAGTAGAACCAAGAAGCAAAAAACATGGGTAACAAAACATGGGAATGAGTAGACCATTTCTGTACACTGCGAGAATCACGCGTTATGCATGAAATCGAACGTAAAAACAGGACAAACAAAGGTCGTAGTGGCGTCAAACATCGCGTGGGATTCGACAAACTCGAGGTATTTGGGGGATAATTCCATGCTTAATAATGTGCTGTACACATTTGATGATAGGCAATTTTGATTAAGTGAGGGTATTCGAAAGCAATATTCCTCTGTCTAAGATTGGCCGGTCGATATGAGGTACGAAATAAAGAAATTCGAGTTCAAAATCAAATTGTTTGATTCTGGCGGCAGACGCTCGACACGCGTCTTTCATACAACTCGCAAGATCTCGCAGTTGAACTTAAAATCACCTATTCAAAAGTTACTTACATAGCTGACTGCATCTTCTTCACTGTATGCTAATTTAACAATTCCATAAGAGCCTTTTCCAATTTCATTTTTCAGTCTGTACTGGTTAAGCTGAGTGAAATTCTGTTAAAAATCAAACCAGAGGAAAATGTTATAAAAACAATCATTTGGACGGGGCCAATTAACAGATAATAAAATTACAAAATCAAGTGATGTGATATATTAATCAACTGATTTAATTCTTATCTATTTAAATTTTAAATAAGTTTTTACACTAGAAAAATAAAATTACAGTTTCATTATTAGACAACCTTTAAGAGGTTTACTGTGTCTTGGAGCTATATGGAAAACAGCAAGTAATTTACAATGATAAAACATCGTGTTAGAAATCAGTCACTTCAGAACACTCCATGAAAGCATTACATTTTAAGCTAAAACAAATCAAAGAGAATTATTCAAGAGAAACTTGAAGAAGACAATGTTTGACATTTCAATAAATCCTGAGTTATTCATCTGCACAAGTGTATTAAATCGTAATTGGTTGTGTGAGCACGAAAAAGTAATCACGACTGAGTATAACCTTTCTCACCATCATACATTGTATGTGTGTTTATATTGAAGTGTATCGTATACATACACATATTGGTGATTTATTATTCAAACCTGTCTTCAAAAGTACTAAGCCGTAGATTAGTGGATAATCCCTAATTTCAAATGACCTGATTATAGTATACAACATAATATGGTACATCTGCAGTATGTAAGAAACAATCAAAATTGGATTAGAATACAAACAAGTAGAATCTCAGAAATATTTCTCAAAAATTGCAGATAGATCAATGCAGTTCATTGTGACACATAATTATTATAACTAATTTGCATAATGACA